GGGCCAGAAAAAAAAATAAATTTAAATATAAATAAATAAATAGCAGAAAAATATTATAGGTGTCACAGCAATGTTTGTTAGGAAATGAAATTTCATTGGCCACTATGGTATGGAATCTTGGTCGTCAAAGATTAATGTTAGTTTGAGTAGACCTTATTTAGAACCAAGTGTATGAGTCAACGGTAGACACAACCACAAAAAATTTATTAATTAGGTAGAACAAAATTCTCATATGTAAAAATTATGAGTTTGATTCTTACTAATATATTTTTGTTGAACTCATTACACAAGGTTTCCTAGTACAATTACCACTTGTTTAATGATAATTTTTATTTTGTTGTTTTCATTTACAGATAGATAGTTTCACCATGATAGTATAGCTGAACTTTTTATATAAATCTTTTTGTAAATGTCACTACTACTATTATTATTATTATTATAGGGGATGGTTCACGTGTGAAGTTTCTCCCAAGTGAAAAATGGGGTAAGATCTAAGTCGTTGATCTAATCTAGATCACCTGCTCAAATTGAAGGAAAATTAAAAGAAAAACGTGCTTCCTGGCAACATGGATGTAAATGATCAAGTGTCTCGAAGTGACGAACCTTAAGCTTCGAACTTATACACCTTAAGCTAGAAAATAATGCACTTTAAGCGTTAAACATACACACCTTAAGCTATAAACTTATGCACCTTAAACTTTAAACTTAAACACCTTAAACTTTAAACTTAGGCACCTAAATCTATAAACTTCCGCACCTTAAGCTTCGAACTTATGCACCTAAAGTTGGAAAATAATGCACCTTAAGCTTTAAACATACGGGGGTGTTTGGTTGGATGGAAAACATTTCCATGGAAAATGGTTTCCTAAAAGTGAAGGAAAATGATGTTTTATGTTGTTTGGTTGGATGGAAAATATTTTTCATTGGAAAAAGTTTTCTTGAGAATGAGGAAAACAAATTCCTAGCTCATCCTAGATATTTTGTTTTCCATGGAAAACTAATATGACAATTTTACCCTCACCATTATTTATTAATTACTCTTATTATTATTATATTATTATTGTTGTGTAGGGTTATATTTGTCATTATACTCATTATTCCTTACCATTCCAAACTCAACCAAACAATGGAATTCATATTTCCAGTAATTTATTTTCCACCAACCAAAAATGGAATCTATTTTCTTGGAATTTATTTTCCATTGAATTTCAATTCCATTTCCCTTCAAATATTTTCCAGCGAACCAAACGAGAGAGTTAAACTGATGCACCTTAAACTAGAAAGTGACACACCTTAATCTTTAAATATATACACTTTAAGTTATAAATTTATGCACCTTAAGCTTTAAACATACGCACGCATGTTAAGCTATAAACTTACACACCTTAAGTTTTAGACTTAACACCTTAAACTTTAAACTTAGGCACCTAATGCTATAAACTTACACACCTTAAGTTTTAGATTTAAGCACCTTAAACTTTAAACTTAGGCATCTAACGCTATACACTTACACACCTTAAGCTATAAACTTATGCACCTTAACTTTGAACTTACGCACCTTAAGCTTTAAACTTAAACACCTTAAGTTGTGAACTTATGCAAAATGACCATAATGTCACTACTGGGGTTTTTTTTTTTTAATTGTTCTTTATTTTGGGCTGTTGATTTTGGCAAGATCAAGGCTGTGATTAACCTGCACGTTTCACCTAAGAGAAGTTTCGCACCTGATCCCTTGTGTGTGTGTGTGTGTGTGTGTGTGTGTGTGTGTGTGTGTATTTATATATTTATTTATCTATTTATTTATATATATACTGGTTCAAATGCGGCGTCTTGTTACCGTGCAACCATTAGGTATGCATAAATGCATCACAAAGTATTCTGAAATGCACAAATGCACTATGAAAATGCACAACCCTGGGACGTGCTATCATGCACTGTTAGAAACATTTGTTTCAGATTTTGATGATACCAAATGATAGGAATTTAAACCCCAAATTATTTTATTTTCTAGACTTAGGATATTTCTACTCAACATTCGAAACCAACTAAATGGTACCTCGAGTAGTAAAAAATCTTTCCATCTGAATGATAACTCGAGAGGACAGTCTCAATATAAGACTCGAATAGTATCCCAAGGGGTTAACTCATGAGTGGTCCGAGCTGAAGACAAGAAGACTGAAGGGACGAGTGGTAAGGTCAACCATTCGTATTCGAGAGGACCTAAGGCTCGAGGCGTTAACCTAGTTAACCACTCGATAAGACTACTCGAGACATTCTCTGAGTTGTACAGTCTGAAACCTTAGAAGATGAGCGAGTATATCCAAGGAAATGAGAGTCCTAGGAACATATCCCAAGGTCGATATTTTCATTAAATGCCCTAAAATTTTGTGCAGAACAAAAAGCAATGTTCAGCACAAATTAAGTCTTTAATGACTGAAAAATTTGACAAGCTCACCTACCTTCCGGATTACCTGTCGGTCTCTACACACTGGTCCTTAGGTATTTGAAAATAGTTTTTCTCTAACAGAACTATTTTTCACTATGCTTGTAAATACCCTTTTTCCTTAGCTGAAGAAGGTGTTGGTCATTTTAAAAATCTTAAGTGTGAAAAAGCTTTCAAGTGTTCATTTTAGAAACCAGTGATAAAGAGAAAGAGAGAAAAAATCTTTGAAGCTCATATTCAGATTTTTATAGACTTGAGATACTTCAAACATGAAAGATCAAGATTCAAGAAGCCAAGATCTCTAAGTTGGAGAAGAAGAAAACCCTTTTCTTCAAACATGTATTATCTACTCGGTAGTAGTAAAAGAGGCGGAGTAAACTCGATTATGAGTTGAAAAACCTGGGTGTGGAGTTCACGGCCGGCTTGGTGTTCAAGGCGTGGACGTCTTGGTTTTGTACTGGAGATAGTGCAAACCTCATTAGGGTTTAAGGAGAAGAATGGAGTAAGCTCGTTATAACCGAACCACTATAAAAATCTCCCTCTCACTCTCTTTATTTATTTATTGCTTACATTGCATAATTAAACCAAACCTAAGAATTTGATAAGTCAAAACTAAAATGCAAAAGAATTTAAAAAGGGTTAAAAATATTTTTCCGCTATGCATTCTGATCGAATAATTAAAGTCACCTCTCGGTTGCTTTAACCATTCGCGAAAATTTTAAAACTCTTCAAGTCGATTCATCCCCCTCACCCTCCCCCCCGCCCCCCCCCCCCCCCCTAGATTTGAACCCTAACCCTCACCGGGACAAACATGCACTATTAGGTATGCATAAATGCACCATGTCCTTATGCATTTCTAAACACGATGTGGTGCATTCTTGCATACCTAATGATGAATGACCGAACGTCTGCACGGGAACCAGACCCCTATATATATATATATATATATATATATATATATATATATATATATAATGTTAGAACTTGTGGTCTAATATGGACCAATCAAATCATGCATCCACAGTTATGATTAAATCATCGTAATCTACTAATTTGCATTGATTAAGGGTAATAAAAACTGTCCCACAGGGTAATTTGGTTAGTCAACGAGCTCCCCAATGGGTTCAATAGACCTGCTGAATAGTCTTTGGACTAACAGATCTGATCAACGAGTCTATCGAACCCGTTGATATACCTGGTGACCGTTGAGTAGTATTTGATTATTCACTTGGCCCCTGTCATGCATTACTATACAAAATGTTGTGCATTGACATATAGAATTTCGTGCATTTATATACCAAATGTTGTGTATCTAAAACTCTCTGGCTTGATTATTTGCTTGGCCCAGGTTGTGCATTCATATTATATATATATATATATATATATATATATATATATATATTTGTATAGTAATCAACATCACATTTCAAATTCATATTAAGTAACAAAATAATGGACTTAATCCTCCAATCCTTTGCGAATTAACACAATTACATCAACTTGACAGTGGTTACTCTTAAAATGTAATTTTATTTTTTTTGTATATATTTGTATAGTAATCAACATCACATTTCAAATTCATATTAAGTAACAAAATAATGGACTTAATCCTCCAATCCTTCGCAACCTAACATTATTTACTTTAATTTGAATGATTTGTACTAAAATCTTCATTCAAAGCGCAATTCAAAGAATTGTTCAAATTCATGCAGGCCAATTGCCTTTGGTAGTTGGGATTTCTTACATCCACACGCTGACTCGTCTTCCAATCTCATGTGAGCAAACATCTCTTGACTAGCTAACACTTTTTTCCACTCAATCCTAATCCTAAATATATGTACTAATATAATATACATAGATTCTTTGCCCCCCCCCCCCCCCCCTCCGGTTTTTTAATAGTTAGGTAATCATAGAGTTATTATCGAGGTAAAGTATCAGTCGTGCAATCAGTCCATCTATCATATCTTAGTTTTCACGGGTGTACAATGGATCCAATCGAGATATTCTCGCATTCTTGAGTCTTTTTCCCATAAATGTTTCCCGTAAAAAACCTCACACTGCCACTTCCAGTTATGACCTTTAAGTCAGACGACAAACAAACTATACTAAGAGTGTGTTTAGAAATTAAGCAGAAAAATCGCCTCTATTTTCCATTTACCATACCCCTATTTTTCATTGATTTCCATCTCCCCTCTCTAGCCAAACACTCGAAACCCGAAAAATGATTTCCAAAAATTATTTTCCAAGTTTTCAACAAACTCTAAATCTTGAGAAGGATATTTTATGGTAGGCTTATAAGTTGAGGACCAAAATTGGTAATACTTCAAAAGAACCTTGGAATTTGAACTGGTCCAATCTAACGCGGGCAAATAGTACTTTTTTCCCGTAAGCAAAGTGAAAGGGAGGACTTTGAGTCTTTGACTATATGCTTAGAAATGGAATACATATTATAATTAATCCCCAATAGGTTCACACTAGACCAACTTAATTGTGCAACTAACAACAGTCTATAAAATGCCCAATGGCTTAGCTTCCTTCTCACTCCACTCAAACTAAACTAAACTAATTCAACTAAGATGGAGATCAGCAGTGTCATCCTCAGTATCATTACTACCATGATCCTGATTTTCTCTTCTCTCTTAGGATCTGCTCAGTCAAGAATCCTCATACCTCGTAAGGTGCGGTCTGTTGTTCGTGTTGTCTCTCCGCCCAATCATGAAAATGAAGCGATAATGGTCAACCGGCCTGCAATCTCGCCACCTCCATCTCCAAAACCCTCTCCACCACCCAGACAAGCCATGAATCCATTTTTGTGGTCTGCAACCACATATGACTTCTACAAATTCACAGCGTTTGTCTTTCCTAGTACTAAGAGTTTGAAGAATTTGTTCGCTTTTGCTGATAACAACAGCGGCTGTTGTGGCCGCAGTAATCCACCAAAACCGCCTTCTCCGGACCCGAACCCTCCGGACAGGCAGATTGACGGCGACCAGAATGTGGTGGCGACCGGTGATTATAGGACACCAGCATCACGGTCTTTGCCCTGGGCGTTACCACTTTCAGCGTCGTACTACGTTAATAAACTCAAAAGCTTTATCTTTCCACCTACTATTATTGGTAGTAATAATTGGTACGGCCGCGAGAGCCCGAAATCCCCTCCATCCCTGACGGCGAACACTCCTGGCAGGCAGATTGACGGCCACAAGTATGTGGCAGCGGCCGTTGGTTATACGAGACTGCCTTTGGCGGGGCCACCGCCTCCGCCATATATATATATATAACTTTGACAAGTAATAAAACGCTAAAGAATGGTGGAAAGTCTGGATCCCTGGTACAGAATAGGATCTTACCAATGAGTTGATTGTAACTTGCTATTTACCTTCCCAAAGATTCTAAGGGCGAAATTTTGTGAACTTAAGATTAGTCTGACTAAGTTGGATCAATTTTTTATTATTATTATTTTTTTTTTGGCATAACCTGGAATCTAGTAAATGTAAACTCAATATTTGGGATGGTAATCCAATTTATGTTGTTTTTAGAAGATAATTGTTGTTAGCGGGCCATCAACTGTCTTTTAGGATGTTCGTTGACAACCATGATTCTTTGATGATGAAGATACTATAATTGTCCTTAAAAAAAATTACAAATTTATATTCTTTGATGATGAAGATGACTATACTTGTCAAAAAATTCAAAAATTTCTATTCTTTGACGATGAAGAATTGAAGATGACTATAATTGTCCGTTAAAAAATTTAAAAATTTCTTTTTTACAACCACGGGTTGTCTCAAATGTGCAAGATCTAGACTAGACTAGACTAGACCCACACATATCATGATTGCCCACATTCTTTTCTATGGTTTAGATCTAGATTTTTTTAAGCAATTATTGTTGGAATTTTTAGCATAAAATATTATGTAAGTAGCTATTTCGTGGTACAAATATATGGAGTCCACCTCCGATTTGAATCGGGCCAAAGTGAATTTTCACTCTTAGTAATAAAATGAAGAAATTGATATATTGTACGCTTAAAATGGATAATGGGTGAATGATAAATTGAAGGTAAAAAGACTTTGCAAAAACACTTGTCTCATATTGGTTTAGGAAATAAGTTTGCGCATCACTATTATACAAGAGCCTTTTACGAAAAAAAATTGAATTGTATAACATAGAGACTTTTTAACCACCTACAATTATGCCAATCACTATCCCCATTTTTTTAAAAAATTATTATAATTATTAATTTTTGGAATAAGGTTCAAATTGACCACTGAACGTAACCTGAAAATGCAATTAGGCCACTGAACGAAAAAAAGATACAATTTGACCACTGAACACACAAAAACGTGCAATTAGGCCACTGAACACTCTAAATGTATGCAATTTCACCGGATAGCAGGTTACCATCAATTTTAGCAGGTTACCTGCTTACGTGGCGGCGACCACTTTCAGCGTCGTACTACGTTAATAAACTCAAAAGCTTTATCTTTCCACCTACTATTATTGGTAGTAATAATTGGAATGGCCGCGACAGCCCGAAATCCCCTCCATCCCCGACGGCGAAGGGGAACACTCCGGGTAGACAGATTGACGGCGACCAGAATGTGGCGGCGACCGATGGTTATAGGACACCAGCATCACGGTCTTTGTCCTGGCCGTTACCACTTTCAGCGTCGTACTACGTTAATAAACTCGAAAGGTTTATCTTTCCACCTACTATTATTGGTAGTAATAATTGGTATGGCCGCGACAGCCCGAAATCCCCTCCATCCCCGACGGCGAACACTCCGGGCAGACAGATTGACGGCGACCAGTATGTGGCGGCGACCAGTGGTTATAGGACACCAGCATCACGGTCTTTGTCCTGGCCGTTACCACTTTCAGCGTCTAATAAACTTGAAAGCTTTATCTTTCCACCTACTATGATTGGTAGTGATAACTGGTACGGCCGCGATAGTCCCAAATCCCCTCCACCCCCGACGGCGAACACTCCGGGGAGACAGATTGCCGGCGACCAGTATGTGGCAGCAACTAGTGGTTATAGGAGACCGGCATACCCGCCGGCGGTAATTGGTCTGACGTTTTCCAGAACGTCACTCCCTGAACCGCGCGCAATTGGATGAGTCCAGTTGAATAACAGCTATATATACACTTGGCTTTGACCAATATTTAACCATGTTTGCTGAACTATTGAGTTACATTCAGTAATTTACATCCTTCAAAATGCTCTGTCCAACCACGATTTGGAGCCCTTTAAAATTGGGATTCAACTTTTTTGAACAAGCAAGCTTTGATAAGTAGTAATATGAAATCCTAGTAAATGTAAACAACCATGTAAGGAAAGCAATTTTGTATCTTAAATTCGTTATTAATGTTATTTAATGAAATTAGAATGTTATATGTAACAATTATCACTTGATCTGTCTTATATGATTTTGAATTATATTATTGTTTTTGTTTATATGATTTTGAATTGTTGTTGTTGTTGTTGTTGGAATAATGATTAAAATTTCTGTCGTTAAACTTACCTACCTAAAATTTAATTCTTATTTTTTTTCGAGAGTTAATGTCAAGCAACGAATTAGTGACTAAAATTTTCAACGTTATGTGCGCTAAACTTTTATAGTAACATCTTGTGCTCAAATGGTATGTAGTGACCTTTTTCATATGGAAGGTCATGAGATCGAGGCGTTGTTGACTCTTTGTACCTTCATTAGGTTGAGAAAGTATGTTAGTATACAGCATTGAAAAAAAAAAAAAAAAAAAACCTTTACAATCAAATTTAACGACATAATTTCTTTCTTGTTAAATAAGTCATGAATATAGTCCTTATTTTGCATGACATCGGCTGAATTACAAAAGAAAAAATAAAATCAATCAAAGACATCCATATAATTAAAAATGATTAGGCTTTTAATTAAAGTGTATGTTTTTAAATTATTCCACATCTTTGGTTGGTTAAATGGAATTAATTGAAGATTTTTTTTTTTCGGTTAAAAGACTCAATTACATTATTTACTTGACTTAATAAAGGCTTATTTGACAACTTTTGCTTGTTTTGTCTTATTGAATTCAAAATTAACTATGTTGGTCGGGCAGTAAACTTGGTACCCACAAACTAAGATTTCAAGTTTGACTCTCCATGTGAGTTGTACGTCTAGTAGCATTCTTGTTTGAGCCATTCAATTATAGGCAACCTAGACTGATTTATCTCTTTGTGATCCTTTATTGCCTAAGATCAGAAGGCAGGTTTCAACTCCTGATAAAGTTTGTAAACTTTTCAGTAAATCAAATATTAAATGTTGAACATCAATGATTAGTGTTAGTTTGAGTAAACTCTATCTAGAATCCAGTGCGGTGTTGACTCAATGGTAGACCAATATTATGCATTATGCAAGGCTGTGGCCAGCTTTTAAAAAAAAAAAAACAAACAAACAAAAAACAAAAACAAAAAAAAAAACATTATAGCTGTACCAGAAATGTTTTTGATTTTTTTTTTTCGAATTTAAATTTATTTGGCAGTATCGAATCTTGGTCGTCAATGATTAATGTTCGAGTAAACTTTATTTAGAATCAAGTGTTGACTCAACGTCTCAACCATAGATACTACAACAAACTGTTTATTCTTCCTAAAGGAAGACTCCCCTCAGTTTGAGTAGGTTGCTCCTACACTGCCTCTGGTGAGACTCAATCCCTTATCATTCTTTCAAAGTTTCACCTTTATGACCAGTTGAGCTGCCCATGCGGGTTACAACAAACTGTTTATTGTTTAGGTGGATTCTGTACTTATGTAGCATGGAAATAGGAAAAAAAAAATGGAAAACCGATAAATGACAACTTACAATAAAAAAACACAAAATATGATGAAAGCATGTAATTATAAAAACATATATACAGAAGTATCTAAAAATATAATAAGTGTGGATGAAGGTTATACCCTTTATTTATGTCTATTTTTTTTTAAATTTTTTTTATACATTATGAGTTTGAGGAATTTGTTCGTTTGTTTGCTGATAACAACGGCGGCTGTTGTGGCCGCAGTAATCCGCCAAAACCGCCTTCTCCGGACCCGAACCCTCCGCAGGGCCAGTCTTATCATTTTATAGGCTCAGGGCGTAGCAACAAAAATGGGCCCTATATATATATATATATATATATATATATATATATATATATATATATATATATATATATATATATATATATATATATATATATTCTTATAACTGAAATTTAAATTAAATAAGAGAAAAAATATTAATGTCAAATAACTTGAAATAAGATTCACAAGTTTTGACAATTAGACATACACATGAAAACAATTCTAAATGCCTTCCTAAATCCAAAATAATCAATACCAGCATTAATGCTTTAATAAATAAAGAATTATAGTTTAAAAAACGAATAAATAATTTAAAACCAAATGAGCTCATAGAGTATCACATTATTATTATTATAATAAATAATAAAGTAATTTTTAATAAAAATTTATAAAACAAAACTTACAAATAAGAGCATAGCATAAAATATTAATTATTGGAAGCAATAAATCAAAAAACTCCAAACGTGATAAAATATATTCATAATAAAATATGAAACATAATTAATTGGTAAAATAGTTCGAATAAAAAATACATAATAAATCACACATCTTCTATAGTGATATACATATTAATAAATACTTTTTCTTTTAGTTAGATCAATTTTAAGTTTTTTTATATTAATTTGAATACGATAACACACAATAGGACTTTTAAACTACATTGATTAGATAATTCATAAAAAAAACTATATTTTAAAATATTTTTCATAACTAAATCAAAAAATATATTATATATACATAATCCATTATAATGTTCATAAAATAACACATATTTTAAAAATAAATAGTAAATTACTCTAATAAAAATAGATTCAAAATTTGATATGAATTGAATCACAAATCAATCTATATTATAAATTTCACTATAATTATAGAAAGGTAAAGAAAAATCACAAAATTACAAATTAAATTAAAAAAATACAAATTAGAAATATAAATAGAGTAGGGAGGAATCTATACATAGCTCATTCTAAAATTCACAAAATAACACATATTTTAAATATAAGTATTAAATTACTAAAATTAAAATAGATTCTAAATTTAATATGAATCACAAATCAATCTATATTTTAAATCTTACTATAATTATAGAAAGATAAAAAAAATTATAAAAAACAAACATATAAATAGAGTATGGATGAAATATATTTACTATGAAAGTAATTCATGAGGGGATTTAACCCCTTGACCTTCAGTACACTAGCCACAACTCCTACCATCTCAACTATCTCTCATTTAAGTTATAGATATGCTTAGAAGTTTGTTATACAAACATCTGTAGTATATATAGGTAATACTTTAATAGCATAAGATGGTGGGCCCCTTCCAAGTGTGGGCCCTGGGCAAGGGCCCAGCCTGCCGTTGCCCAGGGCCGGGCCTGTCAGGGACGAGACGACGTTTTCCAGCCACGACGTGGTGGAGGCGAGGAGGAATAGGGCAACTGGATTTAGCAACTTCTGATTTGGTGCTTCGAGACGGCATTTTCCGGCATCGATTTTGTGCTTCGTGAAAGGAATGAGATGTTTCAATGAACTATTACAGATGGACTATGTATTGTGGGTTAATTTGTTGTTACTATATATCCTTTGATTTCCACTGCGGGACATTTTGCTATTTTTGTTATTCTGGGTGTGTGGGGTGCTTTATGAAAATTGTAGATTCATTTTGGTGCAGGCTTCCTGAAGTAAAATATTGACTCTGCATTTTTCACTCCATGATTTCCAACATTTTTGGAATATGTGTGTGCAGTGGTTTATTTGGAGTTGCTGATGCTCATGTTCAAGGTGGTATGATCGGAGACCTTTCACTCATGTTGCCTGAGTTTGTTCAGGTACGATGATTTGTTTGATTCCACCAATTACTATTACACTTTTTTTTTTTTTTCTGAATTTTGTTTCTGAAATGTTACTTTGGTGCAATCTTTTCAGTCGTTCCTCGCAGGTTTGGCTGCATCAGGGGGATTTAAGATCCGCATTGAGGTTGTTTACCAAGGTAATATTTGACAACTCCAAGCATGGCATTCGAAAGGGAGAAAGACAATGAATTATATTCTAAGCAGGTGTAATGACTACTTCACCCCTTAAACTAACATCCACTTAACCTTCAACTGACGGAAGGACCAACATTGAAAATATTTCGAAAGTCAAGTGTCTAAATTGTCCAAATTAAAAGTCGAGGACCAATTGTGGAAAATCAACATAGTCAGAGGACCATTGTTGGAATTAACTCTATATATATATATATATATATATATATATATATATATATATATATATATATATATATATATATATATATATATATTGGTTCCTGTGAGAACATACCTTTCCGTGCAGTCAGTGCGGCATATACCATTAGGTATGCATAAATGCACGTTCGAGAATACACTAGAACGAAATGTCAAAAAATGCCCCACAAAAAAAAAATTAAAATAAAAAAAATTCACCACACATAATGGTGTATTTTCGAACATTGTGCGGTGCATTTATGCATACCTAATGGTGCATGTTGCACTGACTGCACAGAAAGACTTGTTTTCACAGAAATCTGACCCTATATGGCTATATATATATATACACGTCCTCGTAGTCTCTGGAGCAACAATCAATGAACTCTCGTCACAGCATCATATCAGTGGTGCGAATTGAAGACGGAGATCTGATCTCATCAATGGACGCGTCACGTCGGCGACGCCGACCGCTCGGGCCGGGGGAGCGAATGGGTTGAGCTAGACGAATTGAACGAGAACTCAGACGTGTTAGATTCAGGCTAGGTTTAATTTAATTTGCTCACTTTGCTGCGCTGCTTCATATATTATCCTCTTTCTCCATCTGCTACTTCATCAATTCCAGACCTTACTCAATATATATAACTTTTTTTTTTTTTTTAATTCTGATCTCTAATGCAGCCGGGGAAAATTTAATTTGGAGAGATGCACGCCAGGTTATGGTGGGAAGAGATCCGAGCCAGGATGCATAAACAGTATTGTAATTGTGAATCAACAATGGTGATACACATTCAATCACGCCACAAGAGGCCACTATATAAAATCCTA